ATATACATACGTAGGTAATAGGATTGTGACAGCTGACAGTCTATACCTGATAATTGACACGTCAGTCCATTACCTACCTGCGCTCTCTATACACTCCGCTACAACCGCCATTCTCCTAACTCAAGCATCAATGACATCGGACTCATCAATCGAAATAATTTAACGCCTGCCCCAGCTTTATCACCACATAGCCGACTAGCTGAAGTCCAACGACCATCAGCAGGTAATTGGCCGAAGAGCTTTGTCTGAGAAGATCCATGATGAGATGCTTGTGTCGGGGAATGTTGGGCGGTACAAAAATCGACTGCATTCTGCTATTTCGGCGGCAGAAGGTAAAAAGTTAGATAGTCAAATGGCATTCTCGTCGTCGCTTTGTAAATCCATAATTGGTAAAAGAATTGACGGACCGTGTGCCTGCTACGGAGAGTTTGGTTCTACTAAACTCCGCCAGAATGACAGTAGTCTAGTTTTTAAAGTTCTCAACGCTATTGCGCATTTACCGAATTTCTCGCATGAAATAGCACTGTCCTCAGTAACATGTACTTGTATTTGAACTACATGCACATAAAGGTGTGTGCGCGCGCGTGTGTGTATGTGTGTGTGTGTGCGCGCGCGCGCGCGTGTGCGTGTGAGGGACAGAGATAGAGGGGTAGGTGCGTGTCAGTGCGTTTGCGTTTGCGTTTGCCTGTGCGTGTTCGTTGCGAGCGTGCATGCATGGCTATACGCACGTTACGGCGTACGCGTGCATGCACGTACGCACGTACGCACGTACGCACGTACGCACGAACGCACGTACGCACGTACGCGTGTACGCACGTATGCACGTACGCGTGCATGCCTATACGCACGTGTGCTTGCGTCGGTGAGTAATAGGTCCGAATAATTATATGGATGAATTACATAGCGAGCATGAAATTCTCAGTGACTGCTTCATATAGCCTTGCTGAGGCCGCGGTAGGCCTGGTTGGCTTTAGGTCGATGCTCCATACTTCTCTTCCCCCTCTTATCTCTTCCCCCTCTCTACCTCTTTTCCCCCTCTCTTCTCTTCCTCCCTCTCTTCCCCTCTCTACTTCTCGTTCTCCCTTTCTTCCCCCTCTCTACTTCTCTTCCTTCCTGTCTTCCCCCTCACTACCTCTCTTCCCCCTCTCTATTACTCTTCCCCCTCTCTCCTGTCTCCTCCCTCGCACCCCCCTCCTCTGTCATCCCTACTTCTCTCCCTTTTCTCTTCGCGCCGCCTTTTCATTCTCCCTTAACCCACCACACCCGCATATCCCAACCCGTCATATTTCATCCCCTCTCATTCCAATACATTTTAGGCGCACGCCATTTTATTCCTTCACATCCAATCCTATCGCAACGGAGACATTTTCTTTTTCTTTTCATTTTTTCTTTTGCCCGTACAGCGGCCATCTCGCGCACTCTCGTGCGCAACTGCTAGACCGCCGTCAGACGTACGGACGTGCGTGCGTGCGTGCGTGCGTGCGTGCGTGTGTGTGCGTCATGTATGTAACCACCACCAGCAACAGCAGCAGCAACATCATCAACAGCAGCAGCAGCAATAGCAACAGCAGCAGCATCAACAGTAGCAGCAGAGGCAGCAGCATCACCACCAGCAGCAGTAGTAACAGCAACAGCAGCAGCAGCAGCAGCATGAACAGTAGCAGCAGTGGCAGCAGTAGCAGCAGCAGTAGTTGCAGCATTAGCAGCAGCAGCAGCAGCAGGAGCAGCAGCGGCAGCAGCAGCAGCAGCAGTAGTAGTAGCAGCAGCAGCAGCAGCAGCAGCAGGAGCAGCAGCAGCAGCAGCAGCAGTAGGAGCAGCAGCAGCAGTAGCAGCAGTAGCAACAGTAGCAGCAGCAGCAGCAGCAGCAGTAGCAGCAGTAGCAACAGTAGCAGCAGCGGCGACAGTCCCGAGCCTTTGTTCTGATGCCATCCCGTTATTTTACACTTTCCGCACGGCCGCCGCCGCCGCCGCCGCCGCCGCCGCCGCTGCCGCCTCACATCACTCGCGCACGCACAACTTACTAAAAACACGATCTTCATGCGAAACGTCGACAGATCGCGAAGCGAAGCAAATACGCTCGTCGGCAAGCGACGTGTTAAGATCTTCAAAACAATGCGCCAGCCGCAGCGACGCACCCGCGCACAGCGCCCCCCCTCACCCCTCTCTTCTCCCTTTCATCTTCACCGATGCCCCGCGGCCCGTAACGTTATCGCAATGCATTGCTTCCTTGCGCCAGTCCCACGCGAGAACGAGCGCTGTTGTTTTAGTTACGTCACGTCTTCTCCGCATGACTAAAGATCGCTTAGACTGAACTGAAGACCTGAATATGCACGCGCCGAGAACGGAAAGGCATCAAGACTTAAAAATCATATCAGTATGGGCATCTCGTAAATCTTTGCTGCGCTGAGTCACTTAGAGAGATAGACATATTGAGAGAGAGCGGGGTTACCGAATATGACGACCGGTTTAATCTGCTATGAAAATACAGCTCCATTGCTGT